ATCACATCACGCAAAACCGTGCAAATTATACTTTGTTCTCAAATTGTTAATGTTAACAACGTCAGCATTGCGTGACTACATGTACTGTCCTTCAGATATTTATCCGAGTTTTCGCATGGGTCCGGTGTCTAGGGCTGTCAAAATTGCTCAAAAATGACGTTCAAATATTCCCTCTAAAAAAAACACATATATTCGAACTATTCGAATATCTGGATGCGCATTTTGTCAATAACAGGACAAATTAATACAAAGAGACACAACTACTTGTATAGGTAGTTTATTTAAGTTTAAACATATTTGACAACGTATTAACTTACACGAAAACAAGTAAATCAACTAATGGCCAAGACCGCAGACCTTACTCTCACTCGCACTCGCAGGCACTCTTTCTCTCTCTCTCTCGCCCTTACGCTCTTTGCGCATAACGGTTTAAATGAACAACAATAAACAAATTTTGAGTGCTGATCAAGAGTTTTGTGCAAGCAATTTAAGGTCGCGACTCTTGTCCTAAATATAGCATGCTTCATTCGGTGATTGAAACAAATATTATTAACATTAATTGAAGTTTTACAGTATATAGAACCGACATTGAACGCTCCGAGCGAGCTGTGCCGTGGGAAACTGGCACTGCTGCTATAATGGCTATTTCGAGGGCGTCTGGCCACGCCCCCTTGGCGGGCTCTGACGTGTATGATGTAATGCTAGCACACGTTGGAGGCGCCCGCGCCATTGGATGTGCAGTTGCCGCAGCACAGCCAATGAGTGAGCCAGACACTCACTGTGCTATCTGTGCAGCTGGAAAATGCGTTTTACATTTTAAGCTTCAGAATTTTGCCACTCGCAAAGCAGACAGCCGCGCCTCTGCTACCGCGGGCGTATTTTTCCACATTATTCGAATATTAATTTTCACCTTCGAATTTCTGTTTTTTAAAACTATTCGAATATATATTCGAATTCAGAATATTCGTTGACAGCCCTACCGGTGTCAGTCTCTTTTTTTCCTGTAGCCACTCCGCAGTCCGAACAAAGTCTTTTGCATTTTATAAAGGGTGAGTCTCCAGTTGTCACTGGTGATTGATGTTTGAACCTTTCTGGATCCGCCATCAAATTGATAAGTTTAATTATATCAAGTGCTGTGAGAAAAGGCTATAAATCTCCACCTCCAACATCCTCACACGCAACATAGCTTATACTAGCCGAGACTCCTTCTTTATGTGTACAGATGTGACGTAATGACGCAAAGACATGCTCGAATCTCCCGCGGAAATCCACCAGTACCACTGGAATTAAACATTACAAGTAGGGATGGGACGGTATGAAAATTTCATATCACGATTATAGTGACCAAAGTTACCACGATTATCAATATTATCACGGTTTTGTTAAAATGAGATGGAAATGTTCAAAAAGAACTGATGCTCACCCTGAAAACATTTGAAAATCAACAAACAAAAAATACAATTAGCAGCTATATGCACTTTTTTAAGCATAAACATTATATTAACATTAACATGGAGCCCTGAGAGTGAGAGGTATAAGTTTTCCTAGTGCAGGTTTTAATATACTCGTCATTAAACCCTATCATTAATAATGATAATAACACTTATGGATGTGTGTATGACTGAATATTATTATTATTAATAAATAAATCACTTTCTCTCTCACACACACACGCGCGCGCACGCACGCACACACACTTTAAATGAACAAAATATGTTGGTTGGGTCAGGGTGACTAAACTACTTGAAATAGGCTACTTATAATGACTGTTGTAAATAGCAACGCACTACACAGCGCACATCCATGTCTCGGATCACCGTGGAAGCAATCTCTGGTTTCATTCAAATGTGTATGTCTTGCGTCTCTTTGATTGTATTGAAAATTAAATCAGAGTATTTTAGTATTAATACTACTACAATATTGTTGTAGTGATCACATTTACTTTACGATTGATTTGGACACTGTAACTTGTATAATGGATTTATAAACCGGTAAGATTTAAAAACATTAAGTTAACCACAATTCAATATTTCATGTCCCTGAAATTATTTCTGTGGTAAAAAAATAAAAAATAAAACTGTAATAAGTTTACTATGAATGAATACAATACATTATCCCTTAAATGTCACCCTTAATAGTTTGAATATGTTCGTTCGTCTTGGCTCAAATCCACTTGCTGTAAAACTTTTCTCTTCGCGGAAGCTTTGCAATAATTACAAGTGAGATAATGAAATAATTGATCTCCAATAAATGTGTCTAATTATTTGCCCAAGTTAGTTGTGGTATTAAGGTAAAAATTAACTCAGTGGGTGGTTGTCACGTAACGTTAGATGACTTAGCAGATTTGACGTGTTTCCCCCTTTTGCAGCGACTTTCCTCTAGCAAGATTTGCAGACAGGGTGCCCATCCTCGATTAAATTGCCCTTGGGACTCTTGTAATAGCCAAAATACGACCATACCTCCGATTTTGTCCTCTTTAATGGCTGAAAAATCTCCCGTGCGCTGTCACTGCCTTCCGCCATGTCTTCTCGCGCAAAAAAACAACATTGCATCTGCGCGCCTGCTCGCGCCTGCGTCAGACTGATTCTGGCTGGACAGGATTTACCGCGAGTTTTCAAAATCACGATAATCAAACACGGTTTTTATGATAATTAAATTTTAAACGATAATACTAACCGCCAGGACATTTTATCGTGGTTTATCGTGAAACCGGTAATCGTCCCATCCCTAATTACAAGCTTACCGCTTTGAATCGAGCTAAGGCAAGCAGATAGTTTTGAACACTGGCTGGTTATGTATTTTCTCAAATATGTATTTTGGATAATTTTTAACCCAAAAAAGCTATGGACTGCAGCTTTAAATTGAATCAATTAACAATTATTTTATTAATTAAATACATTTTTATGGGTTTCCCAACAGTGTCCTGAGAGAGTTTGGAAATTGAGGAAAAAGCAGGGAATGTGATTAGGACAAGAAAGAGAGGCTCCAATGAACTCTTGAAAGTCTCACAGACTGCCAATGTTGGTGTTAAATAACATCAGAAGAGTGTGGCTTTGACTCACGGGTTCCAGTGTTCTTTGGAGATCCGGTACAGACTTGTGAACATTATGGGAAGAATCACGTTGGAGTTTTCCTCAATCAGACTCATGATGTACTCATTATTCCAGTAGTACAGAGCTCTCTCAGCCACCTGGACACACATAGAAACACCTTGAGTCTAAGCCCAAAATATGATGTAGAATTTATTTTGCATCTTGATGCAAGCAATTGCTACATGCATTTATAAGCATTTTGATACAGTCAACTCCACAAGAAAACCTGGCAAAATTGTGGTGAAAACTGATCTGTTGTGAAATATCAGAAGAAGAAAAAACTAAAAAAGTTTATTAAAGAGCTAATTTCTGACAATATAATTATAATTCAGTCTTGGACAAGAGTGGGTTTGTGCAGACCTGAAAATGAGGGCTGGAGACACATCTAGAGATCTGTTTGAAAAGAGGCTCCTGGATCTTCACAAACTGCGTGGGCTCAATCACATCCAGAATCTCCTCCAACTCTCCTAGGTACATGACCTACACACACATCAATGCAGACAATCAGAGCAGTGTATGAAGAAAAACAGTGAATGCATCCTAAATCGTCATCAACACTTCCACTGTCCTGAAATCATGACTGATCAACCTCTTGCTGTGAATTGGCTCTATTCAGCTCACCTCTTTCTGACTGCAAGTTTTAGGCCAGAATTTCAGCAGACCTCTGATAACCTGTTAAAAGGAGAGAGAAACATGAGACTGGTTAAATAAATGGACTAAAAAAAGAGAGATGATCAGTGAAAGGCTTTGTACGTTTACTGCACTTACTGGTTCTGTTAACGCAGGGTCTTTCTCTAGGAACTGTACAATACAATACGCCAGCTGTGAAAACAACAATCATTTAATTGACAGGATCAAGACTGCAGGAAGTAAACTCATCTGAATGTTTTAAAACGCATGGGCACTGGTACCTGTGCGTGAAAAAGCGAGAGGCTCCTGACGGTGTGAAGAGGAATCAAAACTTTCACCAAAAACTGTTTGTGCTCGGCCTTCAGCGGCAGAGCGAAGCCATTGATGATGCTGACAGGAGACAAACACAACTTTCACTAACACAATTCTGATTGGGTAACCCTGAATTTACCCCTACAGTCAGCACAATGCAAAACTCAGTGCCATTTAATCATCAGGGCTTTTCTGCCAATTTAATCATATTTGAGGGAAATTCCTGAGAAGTCTGTGCTATAACCTTTCAGTTCTCAAGTTTGACAAAAGCTGCAGCGGATGTCAAGATCTTTAGTGAATAACAATTTAATTACAGCCTGTTCCTCACAAAAAGCTTTTGTCTGGCCAAGACTTAGAACAATCACATGAGAGTATGGACTATTTTTATGGAGGCCCTGGAGACTGTATGCTTCTACTGTATGGAAACTTCTGCTCGTCATGTGGTTTTACAATAACATGTAAATAAACATGTAAACGGTAAATAAAATACTTTTTTATTTTCAGATGAACCATCCCTCTAAGATTTACATGTTTAGGCGATCAAGAATAACTCGTATCTCATGTAAAAGAAAATCCCAGCTGTTAGTTAAATGTAATTATTTAATTATGTTAAGTGACTGAAATTGCATACAAAACAATCACAACACTGATTGCATACACAACACATACAAATACTAACCCAATTTAGTATTTCCAATTTAGTATTTCCATTACTACCTATCCAACCCTATCCAAAGTATACAAATTCTAACCATAATTGGTGGCACATCCTTATAGATATTATTAACTTGATTCATTTACATAAATCAATTAAACGTGTAAATGACCATGCATGCAAGGCTAGCAGTTAAGAAAACCAACTCATGAAAACCCTAATCATGAGGTCTACTAATTCTAAAAACAAAAACACAACAGTACAGCTTTAAGCTAAAAGTCAGCATAAAATGGAAATTAACCCTGTCTATTTACTAAATGCATCTTAATGATCTTAAAAAAAGGTTTTGGCCATATTTTTAATCAAAATGCCATTACTCACTCTTCTGGGCCTAGTTGTTCAAAACCTAAATGCATCTTAATGATCTTAAAAAAAGGTTTTGGCCATATTTTTAATCAAAATGCCATAACTCACTCTTCTGGGCCTAGTTGCTCAAAACTATTCGGATCGGATTTCAGCTAACCGATTGGATCAAAACTTGAAAATAGGTTGTTCAAAAGACAAAAAGGATTATGAAATCAGATTAGATCACAAAAAAATCCAATCTTGTTTTGTTCAAGTTTGTGTTGTTCAAAACTTTTTAGTAAGATTGGGATATCTTTGATAAAAAAAACAAAAAAACAGGATTCTCCTAATCCCAGCAGAAGGGTGGATTTTGGGAACAAAAATGTAATAAAACTTTAAAACTGGTTATATCATGTAATATTATACACACATTTCTATTTTAATTTAGCTCTTGATTACTTTAACTGTTAAAGTAGTAAATTACAAGCACACATTAGGCTACCTATTAAGCTCTTCAGTATACAGTAAAGTAAAAAACAAAAAACTAAATTTTGGCACCATAAAATAATCCCCAAAACAGCTGTCATTTTCAAAAATAATATATTTAATTTTAGGTGTTTTTTTAATCACTAAAACAATTGCATCCCTTATTGAATATTTATTTGCTTGTTTTTGTTGTGGGTCACATGAGGGGCTATGGAAACTCTGAAAGGAAAAACATGAGATGGAAGAAAAAACTTATTGCTTTAGCGTTCTCACGCAAATGTTTTGCGTTTCCCCAAGAAACTCCGCAAAGAACTCAAGTTTTGAGAGCGAATGCAGAGTTTCTTGGGGGAACGCAACAATTTTGCGAGAGAATGCAAAAGCATTAAAATATATAATTTTTCTCCCATGTCATATATTTTGCCCCAACATCATGTCCCTTTTGTGCCTCCGTAGGGGTCAGATTTTTCTCTTTGTGAAATGTGTTTGGAGCACTGCTAATCTAGATTTGGTAATATGAAAAATTGTGCATCTGGATTTGGTAATCTGGATTTTGGTAATCACTGCTAATCTAGATTTGGTAATGTGAAAAATTGTGCATCTGGATGAGTATGATCCAATCCTATCTTGCTTTGAAAAAACAGTGCAAAAATAAGATGGATCACTTGATCCTGGACAGCAAAACATGGGATTTCCAAATCTAGATAAATCTGATCCAGATTAAACTTTTTAAACAACTGGGCCAAGGTAATACATCATACTTCTCTCTGGTATGCCAGATTTCTCCAATCATTTGCTTAAATCCTGCCCCTCTCTTACAGTATAGGGTATGCATTGATGTCACTTTCCCGCCGGAACATGTCCCCTCAGCCAGACTGAGTGGCAAAAGAGCTGCAGCCTGACTGGATTTAATAGGGGAAACTGCGAAAATGCGAGTAAAACGAACAATTATCAATTTAATCTGAAGGTTGGACTCGATATAGTGTTCCTTACAACTAACCAAAAATCCAGTGATCCATGGATATTGACAAGCAGCCAGGAATCGTGTTTCCTGACATTTATACGCGTCTGATTTTGATGCGGGGAAATACATAAAGCAAATTTACCTGTGAACGCTTAAAATACAATATACCTAGGTAGGTCTAAATCCGGATGATCACTTATATCAATATTATATATATATATATATATATATATTAGTGCCGTCAAACGATTAAAATATTTAATCGTGATTAATCGCATTAATGCCATAGTTAACTCGCGATTAATCGCAATTAATTGCACATTTTTATCTATTCTAAATGTCTCTTGATTTCTTTTTGTCCCATTATTTTTTCTCATTTTAATGCTCTTATCAACATGGAAAAGTGGATCGGCTTGCTTTGTGCAAATGTTTTTTTATTGAAAACAACATTGGCATATACTGTGTTAAATTCACACTAACATTCTCACTTGGAGCAAATAATCTCTCACACAATGTAACACTGTCCATCAATAAAAGGGTGAAAGAAATACTGACGAGGTCCTGATATTGACGAGGGGGCGGAGAATTCGCATCAGCTGTGTGTGTGTGTGTGTGCTTGGCCATCAAGTGGTATTTCAGACTGGACGTGCTACGACGATGATAGCTCAGTTCACAATGACAAAACACACAGATCACTTTGCGGTCTCGTCAATGGAACCATTTGGCAACTTTTTTAAAGTAAACTTTCCATTCAGAATCTTATTGGCATCCATTTCGGCGTCTCGCGCTCGTCATCCACTCAAAACGTAACGTTAACCAACTATTTGGCCGGCTCGCAAGCCCAAACAAGTGTGTGCGGCGTCGTGCCTGTTGTTTTGTTTCCGGTCTAGCTAGACCCGCTTGCGCTTTTAAAACGTCCTCGCGCGCAAGCCATTGAAATGAATGGGTTTCATAGCGCATGCCGCGTCCTGTTGCAAAAGCATGTGAAAAAAACTACAAAGTTTGCTAGGCCAAAAAGGCCGTTAATCGCGCGATAAAAAAATTAACGCCGTTAAAATGGGTTTGCGTTAACACCGTTAATAACGCGTTTAACTGACAGCACTAATATATATACATAACACCATATAGTCCAGCTCTAAAACTTGAATAGTTTTTTGTCAGTGTTTATTTAAAAATATCCAATTATGCAGAATATACGATGGTAAAAATTGTAATTGATGGGTTGTTAGGGTTGGGCGATGTCTACCACTTTGGCATCAGACGATGTCTACAGTGAAACCTTTTTCGCGCTTTTCGCGCGCGGTTGGGCGATGTCTACCACTTTGGCATCAGACGATGTCTACAGTGAAACCTCGCGATGGACGATGATATCGGAGGAGGAGGAGGAGGAGGAGGGGGGGGGGGGGGGGGGGTGTCGGCAGCTCTGCCAATTTCGATGTCGGCAGCTCTGCAGTAGCTGAGCACTAAGTAGCGAATGTACAGTGACGTGACATCACTGCCAGATTCAAACTGCGTGCTTTCGCGCTATGGCTGGCGCGCTGAGCCAAAGACGGACGCGCTCAGCGCTTGTCATAGGCTATATCACAACTGTTCAGTGTTTTTAACCACATAATGTTTATTTTAGGTTTCAGACATTTAAATACATATAATCTATAGCAAAACAATACATTTATAGTTTGTAAAATACACAATGGTGTCTAGGGAAGCGGCAATAACAACCCATTCAAATATATTTGACGACGGTTTTTATTCATATCAGAGAGACACAGTATAGCAGTAAATAACTATAATGTCAACTAAATTTTTCTCCCAGTTCACCGGCCACTTATGCTGCGTTCCAGGCAGGTTTTTGAGCACGTAAATCACGACTTCAAGCCACGACTCACGACTTCGTAGCATTCCAGGCCAGTCACGCCAAACTACCTGAGCGCAATATACATACTTATTTTTTCAGACACATAACATTGTAATACATAATCTTGTGTGTATTATTATCATTATTATTATATTATTATTAATTTGACTGCAACGTTATATTGTCCTAAAGTGTATTCTCACTGTGTACCGCCTGCAGAAACACTGCATCCGTAGGGGCTGCCATTGTTGTTCTTGTATGGTTTTGCGGGCTATGTGACGTCAGAACTCGTAACTGGGAGTACATCGATCTAGTACGAGTTCACGGGTGGGAAGTCACGGGTTTGACTGCCGTTCCAGTGCACTTTCACGGGTATAAGGTTGGAAAAACACGGGTTACAGGTTGCCTGGAACGCGGCATTACTTTCATGTTTTTCAGGAGAAACTGGTGAATTCACGCGCTGTAATAAATCCAACAGACAGAAATCTCTGAACTGCGGTCCAAACACGGCGCCCATCTCACGTTACAGATCAAGATAATTTATAAAGTTTTTTTAAACAACAAAAACTCACTTACACATATTTGAGAATCGGAATAGAAGATAGTTCATGACTTGGTAAGCAAGTTTGTTAATATTTAGAAATCAAAGCGCTAAATCTGTCATACAGCGCTATTTTGGCTGTGGTGAATCACGTGCCAAGCATGACGCGTCACCATGGAAACGGGACACACGATGTTTAGCCGATGCCGTCTAAACATCGTGATGTCTGTCAGCCATCACGATGGACGATGATATCGTCCATCGGCACAACCCTATGGGTTGTCAATACAATATATAGGGTATGATTTTACCCCAAAATTCAGCATATTGACAAAATGATAACTGCAAATCCACCTTTCGCTGTCTGGAGTCCAGATGTTTCTATAAATTGCAGCGATCCTTCTTTTGCTTCTCTTTTCTGTAGCTTTCGGAAGTCTGTAAAAATATACCTAAGATCTCTTGTCAATTCTATTTATACAGTCAATCTCAAAGCTCTTTCCCATTTTAGTTGTGTATTGTGTGTTCACGTGGCATTTACGCTGAAAACCAATGCTGCCGCTCAGTCTTTTTGCCGCTCAGTCTTTTTGCCACTCAGTGGGCGTAACCGCAGTCACTCCGGTCGACAGTGACGTCACCCAGACACGCACATACTCTCTTATTGACTGCAAGCTTGCATTCCATTCTGCCTCCAGCCAATTAACAACCGATGGATAGACGGATAGCCTTACATAGTTTCTTTTCCAATAGTCCATTTAACGATACAGAAGAAATTATCTGTAACTACTTCCTTTACATTGTGACTGAAAAAGTACAAAAAAAAGTACAACTCACCTGCCCAAAATCTCCAACAATTCTGCGACTCCATTGAAGTGCTCAGTTTCATAAACAAAACTATGAATGAGAGACACAGAGATGAATGGTTGCGCTTCATTCCTGCATGTGCAAATATAAATTTCAATTGTCATATATTAGATCCCTCACCGTAGAAAAATATTATTAATTTGTTTTCGTATAAAAGCTCTCAGTCCCAGGAATTTTCCGTAGATTCTGTGTAAGACTGTCTTCAGGTAATCTCTCTCCCGCGGGTCCTCGCTGTCGAACAACTCCAGCAGCTGACAGGACAACAGATGGACAAAAAAATGATGAACAAATGTTACTGAGAAAAAAGGATTTGAGGAGATTTTTTAAAAAGAACATCCTCACCTGTAAGACAAATTTCTGGTCTATGTACTTTTTGGCAATGCTGGGTTGAAACTCCTGACTCTCCAAAAAGCGAATGAAGAACTCATACACCAGCTGAGAAGAGAAAAGAGAGAGAGAGAGAGTTTGTGTTATTTGGGGGAGTTCTTTGAACTCAGTATGCATGCAGAGAAATGCAGAGAAAATGAAAAGGTCAAAGGTTATGGTTCGACTGAGGTCACACAGTCACAGGACACACTGCTACTGCCACCAGTGGTCTTTGCCATTATAAGAGGTTGGAAGAAAAAAAGACATGGAGCAAATCTGAGAATGTGACTTTCAATATTGGATTTTTATTTTTTCAGATGAGGAAGCAGGGATTAATAAAGATATGAAAGAGAAAAGTTTTACCAGGAAGATTCTCCTTGAGATATGCATCTCATTTATAAAGGAGTCCTGGAAGCATACAGTGAGTACACACACACACAGAGGGTCAGAGTGTGTGTACAAACCCTCAAAAATACACAGACAAATATGCTGAAACAAATAAAACAGACAGGAGCTCTACACAAGGAGAAAGGGACCAAAGTACACAACAATATTATCAAGAACCTCCACCGCATACACACACACACACACACACACACCTGTAAATGTGGCCACGAGGCCTCTAGAGTGGGTTCATCCTCCTCTGGGTCAAACTCATTACTGTCACTGGGCGGAAGAGTTCGGAATATATTATAGGACACCTGAGAAAGAGAGAAATGTAACATAACCATAAGACATGGGAAAAACACAAAGGTGCATTTGTGCAATATTTAGGAAGATCTGTTGACAGAAATGCAATATCATATACATAACTATGTTTTGAGTGGTGTATAAAGACCTTACATAATGAACCGTTATGTTTTTATTACCTTAGAATGAGCCATTTCTATCTACATACACTGCGCGGCTCCCTTTACATTGAAATAGCCATTTTGCGCCGACATGTTTCTACAGTAGCCCTCAACGGACAAATGCATTTCGTCACAATGTTGTTCTTCGTCCAAAGAAGCTAGCTAAAGTCAGCGAATATAACACTGACACAATGAAGAAACAAGTAACAATAATATTCGCAATAACATCGTTTTACTGAATAATTAAGTAAACCTAATTTCTTAATTTATCTTTGTAAAGAAACATCATTGCTTAACTGGCTACTCTCTGCCGTCTCAGACGACGACATCTTTTCCTGTTGGCCACCGTAACTTCTGTTGATTTCAATTCGCAACCTCACCACTAGATGCTGCCAAAAATTACACAATGCACCTTTAAAGGGCACCTATGGCGTTGAACATAAATGTGTGTTGGCAGTGTGTGTACACAACCACCCTATAATGATAAAAATCCACCCAGTGCTTTTTTTTAATCCCCATAAATCATAAGCACTGTCTCATAACAGGTCGTTTTCAGATTCGGGGCAATGTGACGTAGATTTGCACAAGACCCTCCCACGACTGTTGACGGACACGGCAGTTTTAACGTAGACCCGCCCTGAGTGAGCTAAACACAGTCCGCCATTGTTTCGACGCCGGAGCAGCTGTAGACAAGAATATCTCCTAAAGTGATTGAGGTGGTTTGTTGTTGGATGTAAGAATGAACATAGCAGTCTTAATTTACTCCCGTTGTTACTCGAGGATGGATCTGTACCAACTGTTCGTGATCCAGCCTACAGTCTCAGGAGCGATAGGCCTAACGTTACTGATCACGGATTTACGGATGCGGTCCACTACAACAGGCTTGTACTAATAGTGGATAAAAGCAAGATGAAAAATAAGTTATAACCATAATTAAACTAGACTATACCTGTTCTATTTCTATACAGCATTTATTCTATGGCTCTGTGGGAATTATTGTCCGACTCCGGGTCGAAATGAACACCGCTACTAAAAGTTTCTGTTTTGATATTATCAGATGAGATTGTCCTGGCTCTGAGCGCGAACTCGTGAGTCTCCTCCCTCTGGGCCGGCAGCAGCTGCTCATTTGCATTTAAAGGGATACACACTAAAACGGTGCATTTTTCTGAGCCCCAAAAAGTAAAAAAAAATTAAACATGCTGAAAAAAATTATCTGTTGGGTATTTTGAGCTAAAACTTCACATACACACTCTGGGGGCATCAGAGACTTATTTTACATCTTGTGAAAAGGGGCATAATAGGTGCCCTTTAATTTGATTAAAACTTCTTAACCAAATATTACAGACCATTCATGACCGTCTGATGCCTATTTCACAAAAAAAAGACAAGCTTTCTTAAAATCTCACAGCTCCACTCAGATTGGCTTTGTGCAACTTATGGGAATCAGTGTGCACAGGTTAGTAATGTATTAGTCAACCTGGTGTGGGTGCGTGCCTGTATTTGTCTGTGTTATATATATTTTATCAGTCAACTATAATTTAAAGGCTTGTATAATGTCTTAAAAAGAATCCTAATTTACAGCTTTTGAACAGATGAAAAATTCTGAGAAATTTCATGTTTTATGAACAAATTCTGCTGCATGCCAGTCTATTATTGTGGTATCACTGACTTCAGATTTACACTACCGTTCAAAAGTTTGGGGTCAGTAAGATTTTTTTTCAAAGAAATTAATACTTTTTTCAGCAAGTATGCATTAAATGGATTAAACATGCCAAAAAGACATTTAAAAATATTTATTATGGTTTCCTCAAAAATATTCAGCAGTGCAACTGTTTTCAACATTGATAATAATAATAAGAAATGTTTCTTGATCACCAAATCAGCATATTAAGGCCCTTGCACACTGATGAGTCCGAAATTTTCATATGCGTTTTTTCGTATTCGTGATTCGGTGGCTCTGAATTGTCAAAACACCATTCAAACGGACGAAAGTTTCGGAGGCAGTGTGCAAGCGTGATTGACAAAGTGAGGTTGTATTTATTTTTTAACATGCGAAAATTTCGGACGCGAATTTCGGACTCAGTGTGCAAGGGCATGATTTCTGAAGGATCATGTCATGTGACACTGAAGGCTGGAGTAATGATGCTGAAAATTCAGCTTTGCCCTCTGTTATAAAGATAGCGCAAAGGCTAGTGGCCATTAGCGGATGGGCTGGAAGTGATTGCGCACGAGAAATGCGCGTGATACAAACAGCTGCATTCTCCACAGCAAGACTGTTCAAGAAGTCGCGGTGCAGTCTTTGTGTTGAACATTAATAACGGTGTACGTCCTTATGAGAAAAGTGAGTTTTATTTATCCTTAACTTGTTTAGGATCGATTATATATGTGAATATCTAGAAATACTCGAGTATTTGGGTCATAAATCCACTCGAGAGAAATGACGAGTCATGTCGTGCAGTTGGCAAAGAATGAACGTCATTGTAGTATGCTTATGCATGTTGTTTGTAACTGAGTTAAAGCAGCACTAAGTAGGAATTCCGTTTTTGTCAAACAGCGACCCCTAGAGTCGCTGTGGAGTACTTGTACTGTCGTGAATAGCACTCACGCAGAGATGGCTCGCACTCACGGCCGGATCCCCTCCCCCTGTACACCGTTCCCTGTTCAGTAGGATGGACGCTGTAACGAGTGGAAATAAGGTATGGCCCATTTAAGAGCTGCGCGCGCCCAACACCACATGTATATGGCGCCGGGTTATTTCTGTTTGATGCTCATTTTATCAGAATTTTATCAGATCTGTTTTTTGCCGTAAAGCAATTCGTTACCTCGCGAGACCTGATATCACACGATACTTCCTAACACTGAGGCCGGCGGCTCGCCAGCCCAAAGTTGCAAGGGTGGTTTTGCGGCTCACAGGCACCAGGGGGGTGCGAGACGACCACCATTCAACACGAAATCAGTAATATAAACATTACAATGACTCCAAAGCTGTTCGGTTAAGGTAAAAAAGTTACTTAGTTCACCTTTAAGTGTTATGCTTGTATTATTCAGGCTATATCATTACATGTACATTATTTGTTCTGTACAGATTACGTTAAGGAATGGTGACTCACGAGTTATCAGTCACCTGGTTGAGCTGGTGTTAGACTTCATCAATAATGCTAGTTTATACAGTATATGAAACCTTTATTACTGTTTTGTTTATTTTCAGCTACACGCATACACTCAAGTACAAAATGTTAACCTACCATTTCCATTAATATAAGCTGAGAAGCAACTACTACATTCAAATCTGCACCTGTAATTGCTGTCTAATGTATGTCTGTGCTGCTGAAGAAAGTTGAGTAAAACGTTCAATCTGATTCCTGCCTCCTGTCCTGCGTTCTGACCGACGCTCCAGGGAGAGAACTATAGCCTCCTAAGCACCTGTGGTCCTTTCTCTCAAATATTAGAGGAATTAATTACATTTTAGATTTTTTAAAACAGAATATTAAAATTAAGTTGTTAAAGTTATTTTAAATATTTTAACAATATTACTGTTGTTAGAGCCATTTTGATAAAATCAATGCAGTGAGCACAAAGGCATCTTTAAAATCAACTTTCAAAAAAATCTTACCAACCCCAAACTTTCGAGAGGTAGTGTTCCTGTACATAAACAAGTGCAAACCAGACAGCTCATTCCTAAGTGAGCAGCCAGAATAAGTTTCAATTGACCAGATTTCATGTCCATTGTCAAAAGTCTGACTTTCTGACTGATTATTGAAATCCAAAGTCAGATTATACCATTTAGGTAAGTGTATGAATCCTGTCCACAGATAGATGATGCATGTTCAGGTGACTTTTTCACTCACCATTTTGACGACCTCTGGGTAGGCCTGTTCTGTGAGGTATCCTCGGCTGACTGTGACATAATCGACGAGCTCATTGAGGGTTGAGCGCTTGTATTCTTTCATCTTCAGGTCTGACAGAGTGTCCATGAAATCAAAGACAGCACAACACTGCTGAAGTTTCTTCAGGAACAACTCCGGCTGCTCCTGAGCAGAGACGTCTGCGCGCAAACAAACACACACATGAGTAACATGAAACAAGGTTAAAATATGCCCTGCTGAAACTTCACGTCGCGATAAAAGGTTCAGGGTGTACTTCCATACAAACACCACCTGACTCGGATAATGCCTGAGAGAAAAGCTAATAAGGGGAATCGTTTTAGTGAGTAAACTTATTAAACACATGCCAGACAAGACAAGATCCTATTTCTATTTAATGAATAGAGGAAAAGATTTGAGGATGTGAGGATTACACCAGGTCAGTCATCAGACGTCACAATGGGCAGTTTTCCATTATCCAAGAACTGAGGACTCAGAAATGTAAACTAATCAGTGGGCAGAAAAGGAAGGGCGAGAAGCCTAAACTTCCCAGAGTCTTCAAAACCAATTTGCTGACATAACCACACACATGATGATGGCAGAACTCTGATTTAGAAGCACGTTAGTGCTGTGGTTTGAGAATTGGACACACTAGTTTGGTTGGGTTAGTTGGGTCAGTACCACCTAACAGATAGCATTTGAACCGTCACCATCATTTAGCAATGACAATAAAAACACGCCATGAAATTGTTGGATGAGCAGTTTCCCTCACTGAGATTTTTTTTAAAAAAGTTGGGGTTTAACAAAGGACTCACTTAGGCCATCCTTAAAAATATTCTTGTTTGCCGTAACCCGACCGACCGTCAAATTAGGACCGACCCAATTCATTTTTTTTCTCCCTTTTAGTCCGACCGACTTGCCAGTTGTAAACTTGCATTAAAGACCGATTTTTTTTTTACTCTTCAAACAACTAATACAAACGCAATAAAATAATATAAATTATATTATAGTAAGTATTGTGAATATAAATTGCGTAGGCTACGTTCTTTCTTTTAAATAAATCTATGATGATTATATTTACACCATTGGTTTACGCATGTCACACTATGGCCTGTGCGTTCGCTTCGTTTCATTCACTGTCAATGGTTCGCGCTTGGTGATGGCTGCGGCGCGGCTGCTTGTGAAATACGTCTGTATGAGCCTACATTTAGTCGCTCATTATTTCGAAATTCTTAATGGTCAAATAGGGAATCGATGTTAACGGCCTTTTCTCGGAGCGCGTCCAGCTCGTCACGGTCACGATATGCCCGCCGCGAACGCGCGTCACACAGCAACTGCAGGCTCTGACAAACAAACACACATAAATATAGCCCCTTTCACATAGCGCTTTGAACCCGGCAAATTGCCGGCAAATTGCCAGAGTGCCTTCTGTGTGAACGCAAACACGACCCGGGATTGATGCCGGGTTGGGGACCTAGTAACATTGCCGTGTTCAGACCCGGAACGCGCGCTGTGTGAACAAAAGCCAGAACCAATGCCGTATAAGGGGTGTGTCGTAGTGAGGATTCACGAGCCTTTGCAATGACGTAGTTATCGTGCGGCTCAGTTACTCTAGATTAGAAGAAAGTTTGTGTTCGTCATCGATACAAGAACGAAAAAATGTCTGCAAACTGGACTGAAGTAGAGACCCGTCACATTCAACGTCACGCGTCTTTCCGGAACATACACGGGTTGTGTGTGAACGCGCTCTCTGATTCCGGCAAATCACTGGCAGTGTGAATGAAGCAAAATCAACCGAACCCGGGTCAAATCCCGGGTCACTTTATCCGTGTATTTTCCGGAATCTCTGTGTGAAAGGGGCTACACCAAAAGCTGTGTTACAGAGTTTGCGCTGCGCTGACACCTAATCTGCGCGGCTCAATGGACCGAGACGCGCGAGTCGCGATAGACTCGACAGTGCAGGGAAGAAGTGTTTACTTGCGCCACCCAATGGTCAGCGCGGCGCTAAATAATCTTACCAGCACCAGCTGACCAAAAAAACAGCACATCCCATACCGAAATGTACTAAATTGCACTAAAGAAAATCGACCATTCCATAATATGTCAGGACTACTTAATAGGCCTATAGTTTCTACAATGTGCATAGCCATTTGACCTCACTGATTTTTCGTTAATAATAGCAGAGGTTTATGGGTCAAATGTAAACGAATGGTGCCAAACGCGCTGTTTTACTGGTCGGCGCGGCACTGGTGAGATTAGTCATTTTAATTGATTTGTTTCCCTCTGAAAATCCACTTTCATTGAAATCTAGTGGCTTCTTTTTTTTTTATTGATTCTGCCTATTATAATTTTTTTCCAAATGAATGCAGCTGGAATTAATGCAATAAATATGTTTTTTTGACAAAGATTTCAAATTGTTTGTGGTCTATAACCTGTATCAGAATGGGGTTCGCAATGGTGCGCCCGAAGGCATGGGTTGAAGACCCAGTCAGTGACGTCACGATATGCAAATTTGTTTAAATTCATACAGACGTTATCACCATGACCAAAATTGTCCCTTTTTTTATACATTGAACCTTGAAAAAAAAATATAGACCTACCTACCGACCCTTTTTTTTTGCTGTTACTGCAAACCAAAATATTTTTAAGGATGACCTTATTTATTTAATAAAAACTGCCAACAGCCCCAAAACAACCACACTTGGGAACTTATACTATGAAAAAAAGAATTAAGATGATTTAAAAATTGACTAAGTTCCAGCCACTTTAGAAGGAACTGATGACTGATGAGTTAAAAAGTGTTAAATGAACGCAGAGTTGTGAGAAAATAGGATCCGCATCATATCAAAGTGACAGCAGCCTAATAAACCTGCTGTTGTCGGTGATAAATGTTAATCAAAAATCTGAGAAAATCACTCACTGCTCTTGACTGAATAACTTTTGTAGCTTTAATAAGGATTAATCTATATTTAATTTATAATTTATGCAGTAAAGACTGAAGCGTTTGATAACTTTATTCAATTTCTGTGTATTTCCTACCTGTCAGACCTCCTTAAAAATCTTAAAGCACTGTTACATGGATAAAAAAACGGTTAATTGGGCGGTTAATTGTGATTAAATACAGAAAAATTACCTGCTATTTGATAAGCTAAGAGATGTGATATTTTATACAAACTTGGATTAAAGGTTCAAAAGATGATAGCTGGACATCAATCACTGAGTTAAACATGCAATGTAATGGAGATCATGTGCCTTACAATTGTTTTAAATATGTATTGTTGCATAATGCCTTCTGTTTCACATTATACAGGTATAATTGTGCAGCATGTAGGAAGCAGTCTCAATTCTCAATCTAGTCATGGAATAATAGCCACAAAACTCCAACTTTGACATCATGAGATCTTTACCATACAAAAAGCAATTGGCTTCTACAAATGACGTACAAGACTGCACAACTTTAAATGAAAATACAGAACCAACACAGATCTACAGATATTTGACAGATCAACTTGCTCTATGAAAAACAACACCGGGTCTACAGAATGTTGCATTTAAACCTGAACAACCAAAAGAGCAGAATGCAAGAAACGCTCCAGATAACAAGGCAGTCAAGAACAGCAGGGAATATTCAGATGAGCCGTTTTCTGTAAAGCAGTCTCACATCTAGAGGAAAGACATCTGCACCATTGCTTAATTTAGACACTCACAATGACAGTCATTTTGGCTTAGGTGATTCAATCACTTGCAGTTATTTTCCATTTGTGTCCAGATTGATTGCTTGTTCGTTTAACAGTCGGTCAGTCCACACACCAAAAGGTTTTGAGATAAAGATACGGTCTGAAGCGTAATAAACTAAACAGAAGGTGTGCAGTGAGGTCTTCTGAGACATTAAAGAGAAACAGATCTCCAAGATGCAGGGACACATTCATATAAGGTGACGCCTCATGCTGCTGTACAACACACACACACTTTAAAAACCTGGGTGGGGAAAACCCCCACTTCGATGGAATGGTGGTCTTGGATTACATTAGAGAGACTGTTTGTTTGTTTGTTTTAAAATGCACAGAGAGAGAGAGAGAGAGTGCTGGTTACAAAGTTGTGTGTCTAGTTACTTGCACAGAAGTAATGCATGTGCAAGAGAGTGTGTGCGTGAGTTGTTCCGACAGGTGGAACCAGCAGGTGACTTTTACAGAGCCAGAGAAGGAAATGTACTGTATGCATTTAATGCAAACGTGCGCACACACACACACACACACACAGTTCCCTGAATCTAAAGGGTCTTTTTCACTTGGGCTTGAAACAGCAAGTCTGCAGTTACAAAAAAATGTTAACTTGGTTGTAGTGATGCACAGATTTTCACATTTTGGCCATTACAAAAAGCTGAAAATTTTCAGTTATGGCTGATAATAGATAGAATAGCAGATAAGTACAAATTTTATTATCTAAATGAATAAATTCAATTGTTATAAAATGTTACAACTGAATGTAGGCATTACAACAAAGTAGTACAGTATGAAAAATGGATATTCATTTTGAGGTTTTCCAAGTATTACTATTTAACAGTGTTATTAAATGATTAGTGTTTTTAAAAATAACTTTTTAAATGAGCATTAGCTGAAGGCAAATGTAATAAGGTAAAAACTAAATCGACAAATAAAGAAAATGAACAATGAAAATACAATTAAATATGCAATATCAGCCATATAAGAGATGAACAGATTTAAGTAAAAAAAACAATTAATAAATATAATTGCTATTATTGACCAATAACCAATATTGGTTGGTGCCATTTATGATTATAATGCACAAACACACAAAGCACAAGGATATCGAGAGAAGGGAATGTATTGTCTTATTATCGGGTAACTAATTGAGTAAACTAAATCCCAAATTAGTTTTCCAATTAGAAGGACTATACACCAGAGTAATTTGTTTATGAAATGGGCAGTATTTTCATTTTTGAGTGCAGTCAGACAGCAACGCTATAGCAACACAGCTACAACACAGATCTTTGCAGTAACGCTGCAGATTGAGCAAGCTGAAGTGACACTCCTGGATAGCTGGTTCTAACCACATAGAGTTAGATTCAGCCCCCAAAACACCAAACAACATGCTTAACGACAGACATCAACAGAATGACAAAAATACACCATGCCCACCCGCGCTTCTCCATCACTCACTC